TTTTTATTTTTCCGATCAAGAATAATCATAAAATTTGGATTTTTGTGTTTTCGGTCAAATTTAATCTTTATTTTATGATTTTTTTCCAACAAAAACAATCGTTATTTTGGGTTTTTATCTTTTTCGATACTATTTTAGCCGTTGTGATGGACTTTGCAATTTTTTTTTACCGGTTTAAATCTTTTATGATATAAAAAATTAGATCTAAAAATAACGGTTAAATTATGATCGAAAAAAATAAAAACAATTACTTTTGACGAAAAAATAAATAGAAATAGTTACGGTTAGGTTTGATCAGAAAATAGGAATTACATTTTAACGGTTAAATCCCAGTGGGAAAATGTAATGTATAGTAATCGAAAAAAATAATCAGTAAACCAACCTAGTATCGAGAGATGAATGTGTTTTAATATGAAATTTTTGGAACTCCTTGAATACATTAGAATGCTGAGTACATAGTTAGCCGTCATATAATCGAGAACGCATAAGAAATACATTATATTATTTATCACGCATGTAATGCATTACTACTTTTCCGACTGGGATTATATATAAAGATCATAACCGTTGCAGTCCTTGATTTTTTCGATAATATCGTTATTTTATGATTTTTTTCGATTAGGAGTAATCGTTATTTTCTCATTTTTATATTTCCTGATTTCAGATTTTTCAGATTAAAAAGAATTTAAAGCGGTCATAAGAACGTATGTATGATTAAAAAAGTGAAATCTCAAATATAACGGTTATAAACCAAGGAAAAAGAGTCCAAAAAAAACAGTTATTTTTTATTAAAAAATCTACCAACAAAAAAAAAACAAAATGGCCGTTATTTGCGATCCCTGCCGAAATCACTTTGATAAAAAAAAAAAACATTTTTCTCTCCGGCCGGAGCGAAAATTTGAGGTTAAGTTTCCTTTCACACCCACAAATAAGGTGTTCTAAGGTAGAGATATACATAGTATGTAGATGGGCAAAACGTTTAGCGCCGGAGTCGCAGTGCTTATACGTACATATATACATACATACATATGTATGTACACAGAAGCGACGCAGCGAATTCCGATTCGGTCTGCTTTCAGATTTCACGAAGGTAGTTCTCCGCTCGGCTGTTAATTGTTTTTGTTCGTATTTTTAGTACACGCTTGCCATATTTTGTGTAAGAAATTAACCAAAAATGCCCCAAGCAAAATGGAGTGTGTTTTTATCCACTTTGCTTTTACTTTGGTCTTCGCATGTAGAATTTAAAAAATATAAAGGCTCTATGAGCTGTGAAAGGACACAAATAATTTTATTTCAGAACAATTAGTTTCTAACTAAATAATCGATTTTTGGAGAAGTGTAAATGGTGGTTCTTACGCTAAAAGAATGAATAGGTAGTGCTTATAAGTTATATTGTGAGTGTTCACACTTGCTTGGTTATCAGGTTTTATAGTTAAACACCATTATTTTGTAGAATATTTTATTGTAGTAGGCTGGCAATATATATATATATATAGCAGCGTTCTTAATTTTAATAATTTAACTAGTCTGTAAAAAAGTTTGTAACTTGTAACTGAATAAAATAAATAAATAAATAAATAAATAAATAAATAAATAAATAAAAATATATTACCCAATAACCAGATAACATGATAACCAGACATGTGTGAACACCCACATTGTATTTTAGAACTTTCTCATTAATGTGAAAGTGGTTTTTTACTTATGAAAATAATAAAAAAAATCTAATAAAAGTATGCCCACATATTAAAGAAATAAGTTATACCATTTAAGTTTTTTTTACAATTTTGCAAGCATTAAATTTGTTCAGATGTAATTTGTTCTCTTAACTGTGTACTATTAGTTACCAAAAACTTACAAAATTAATTGCTTAACCATTTAAACAAGCAAAAAAAGCCAAAAAGTCCACGCACGAAAAGGACCCAGTTTTAGCACATTTATAACAATGTGGCAACCATGAGTGGGCATGGCGCACTGATACCACAATCAAATGGGATTGTGTTGGAGTGCCCATCTAGGTTCTAAAGGCATAAATCAATATAATATTTTTGCAAGAGGAAGCTCATTTTATATTAGCAATACCCTTCTTAATTTTGTCAAATAAACCTTAAATGTAGTAAAACAAGTAATTTTTAAGCAAAAAACAAAACCGACTTCAATGCTCATATAAAAATTTAAGACAATCGTTAATCTCGCCATGATTCAATGATCGGATTTAAACCAAATTAGAATGGGACCACCTGTGAGGTAACACCTTTCCTTTAAAAAAAGAGTTATAGAAACCGGTTAACCGTGGTCCAAAGTTATGCGGTCCTCCGCGGGACCGTTTACAGGACTTAGTCAATTGGTGATAAATTCGTTTATATTTTCACACAATTTGACCATTAACTCGCTATAACTTGCAATACTTTGCACTACAATTGCTCCACAATTCTGAAATTGCTCGTATAAACATAGTTTCCTGCATAGCCCCTCAAAAACACATTGCTATAACTCGAAGTTCGCGTCCTGAGCATTTCACTGGCAAGAGTCTCATAACTGCGTTCTTGAACTACATTTAATACAAACGAAAATTTACAGTTTCAGCAAAAAAGTCATTGATCATGCCAGTATGGACCGGTGCATTGAAGAGAATGCTGCTGTCATCTACGTATACTGAGTATTCTCTGATTTTCTGGATGCCTCTCTCTCATTCAGATTATATAACTTTGACAGAATTTTTCAAGCGGACGAAAAGTCCGGTATTTGCATCGAGCAACCACGGCGGGGAGTGGCGGAGGGGTTATGTAATGCAAGAGCAGCCACAGACTCGAAATCGGTCTAGCATCTTAAATGTTTGCAGAACATTTCTAAACTGCATTTTTCTCAAAGTTTTTTCTAGATTTACGTCTATATAAAATAAAATGGTACAGAACCGCACCAATATTATAGGACAGTAAAGTTAATTCGTAAAATTTTGCGAGATTTTTTCGGGATGTTTTGCACAAGGTGAATAGAGCTTTGTATATATGTACGTATATGTATTATTTTTTGTATCAAATTAGTTTCAAGAAAATCCGTATTCCTTTCAGGAAGCTACCAGCGGCCAGTGTGTGGGCAAGACTTTTGAGTAAATGTGTCTCAAAGCAGCATTAGCATTTTTTTTTTATAAATAATTTCGGAGGATAATATACAAATTCAGTTAAAATGAACGGTTTTACGAAGACAGTATAATAAGAATCAGTGCTTTATGCATATCTGCCAAACAACATGTTTAATTGATTTAAGAAACCATCTACATTTTAATTTTTACTTTCGATAAAGCTTCTCAAAATATTGTACAAGCATAAACATTTATTCTTTTGTCACTCTTTCGTTGCTTGTTTGCCAATTTTTCATATTAATTACAAAATTAGCTATGATTTGTTGATATAACAGTTGAAATCCTGCTGCTGGTAGTCCAGACTTATCTCAAATGGACTTTTTTCTTTTGCGGATAACTTAGAAGTAAAGTTTTCAACAACAACCCAGTGTCTAATGGGAATTAAAGGAACGTATTCGCGAGGAAATGCAAAACATTTCACGAAACACCTGTTAAGCAGTAATTGAAAATTCCGCCCCAGGTTGCAGCAGTGTCAAAGGATCACATATAGATGATGCAATTAAAATAATGCCAATTTGTGTACTTTCATAATAAATAAACTGTTTTCATATCGTTTA